CAAACAGCCCTTGCCTTGCTACTCATTTGGATAGGTCTCCTTAGTTGCAGGAGAGCTACATCGAAATTCAGATTACGATATCGCTCGTGCATTATCACTCTCCTCAGGTAAAACACTTGATTATTGGTCGGTCTTTCACTCTGCGCATGTGCTCCTGTTAATCAATTGAAAAGTTTGTGACTCAGGAGAGTGTGGAGTTTATTTACCTGGGATTATCAATATTGAAAGCGAGACCGCTCAGAAATTAGTCTACCTTCATTAAGCTTACCGCCAACAACTCATGTGATCGATGTAGTAATGTTATTACCAGTTCGACTTTATTGTACTGTTCAATTGTCTACTGACTTCTTTAAACCATAGTTAATAGAGAGGAATGGTTATGATACTCGGAAAATTTCTTTTTTTGTAATTTTTGTTCTCTGTTTTGGCCTTAACCGTGCACAAAATATAAAAGTTTTTTTTTACTACTGACCGAGGAACTAACCAATAGAAACGTTTAGGTTACGTAATTCATGCACAGTGTATGAACGTAGAACAAAAGATTGTGCACGGTCGTGGACCTTCCAGCATAAATCTTGGCATCTTTGTTTGCTCCTTTGATACATATGTTTGCCGGGCTTCATAACCATTCTCCTCTTAAGCTCATGAGGTCAGTTTGAACCTTATGAATCAATGTTACTCGGTGATATGTAACCATTAATTTCCTCTATCCGTGTATTTGTCCTTTAATTTGCATTTTACTAGTAAATATAGATTTTCTTTTAGATTTTCAGACCAAAAGTGTGAATTGCTGTTAAGTTTGAGGTAAATAACTCATTTGATTATTTAGCGAAAATATAACGAATTTGAAAATTAGGAAATAGGAAATCTTATCCAAGTAAATAAATGGAATTGGTTAGATAAAGAGAAGAAAAGGAAAAAAAAGATCCCGTTGGAGACTGAGGAGGTCAGATAATTACCGACAACAACAGTGTATCCACTGGGATATGGGTTTCTCTCAACACAGTGTGAGGCAGTCAAAATCCATCACGGGCTAATGATTGATCCACCGCAGATGTGGCCACCATTAACTCTAAGGGAAATCTGCCAAGGCCAGGCGTGGCGCTGTGCATTCTGTCCGTTGACCACTCTGGATGCCATACGTTGTCCGCATCCTTAGAAATAATATAAAAAAAGACAACAGGGAAACTACAAGATATCTCTGGTAAGAGACACATTTTTCTTCTGATCCCTTTCTTCCAGGGAGTAATCACCTGTGGTAAATCTCTCAGGTATCCCTCGCATCAGGAGAAAACGAAGTGCACGAAATATTATGTGGGGAAGGAAAACAATCAAGCTGATAGAAACGCTGCTACACATACCTTTATAAAATGTAAGTTTAATTTAATAGATAAAGTTTAAGTTTGCAACCCAAAACGTGCAATTGGTGCAGCTTAGCAGCTAACTGTAAATCATACATTGACCGCATAGCATGGAATAACGACTTTTACGAGATTCTGAATATGCGCTCATTTTCCATAGAGTTTGGTCGATTTGGGGGGTCGAAAACAAAAGAAAAATGCGAAAAAATAATAATTGACTTATCGAAGGTGAAACAATATTTTTGCACTCGCAGTGACCATTTGGCTTCATTCTGTGCGAGAAATCGCATTTTTCGCTATTTCGCGGTCTAGCTGATATTTAGACAAAGCTGCTCTTAAGGACCTTAAGCACTTTTTGTCAAGTTTGAAATCTAAAGAATGCTATTATGATATCTAGTTTAGTTTTAAATGGAATGTAATAGTAATACTTTCTTACTCTGGCTAACGGAGGGCCTCAGGATTACTGCAACTACGGCAATGAGCATGTACATCTTGGATGCCATCTTGATGGTTCACGAGTCGATGATGAACTCAATAAACACGGGGAAATATGGGGGTTTTATGTCTTAAATGTTTGCTTTTGTTGTCGTAGTACACCTGTCGGGGTGTCCAAATACGATCATTTTCTCACAAGCAATATTTGACGTATTTCTACAGCAGAGTACAGTCGCAACCAGGCTGTTCAAACTAACAATAGGGCACCAAATTAAAATTCATGTTTATTTACCACGACATAGATATTGCACGGTCTGTGAAGAAAACCCACAACTGGTAAACAACAGCATGAACCACATCAATTACTTTGCAATTTCGCGTTACTATTGCCTGCAAAGCAGATGATGTTGCTGTGAGTTAAATTTTGGAGATCGTGTACATGTAATGTATAAATGGTGATAAATGAATAAAATAAAATGAAATGAAATAAAAACTCCTCAATTTTGTACCCTGTTGCTAAGTTTGAACAGCCTGTTTATGGCTCTTATTGCTAGCAATCGCATCACTCGGGGTGTAAATTTTGTTGATATAGGACGGACAATTGTTTGCAAATGATGGGGACAGGAAAATGATGGGAAAATATCCCTAGGTGGTATTGTTTTCTCAGTCCAAGCAGCTGAGTGCAAGTGTGATGTTAAGAATTTGATACAAGCAGTGTATGTGTAATTTCATCTTGTTACAACCAAGAGGAAAAGCGTTGCTTAACTTAGCAGTAATTATGAGCCTTGCTTGCCTCCCAAGGAGAATAAAGTTAATATAATGAGCCTGCAATCGGTTAAGTTATTTCCTGTTTTAGTTAGCTATTCTTGTCAGTCTGCCCTTCCCGGGATGGCCCTGGAAATAGTCTTGACCCTTCTAACCTGGATTTCATTCATAAAGTGGGTAAAGTGAAATCAAGGCATAACCAACTCAGACATTTAACGAAGAATCTTATGAAACGAACGCCTTGAGCAGGTCTTTAATATAATTAGCTTGTTGCTTCAAGAGCTTTCACTTTCTCGTATGCTTAACAAACATTTT